CAGGAATAACTTTTATCTTGGGGGACCCTACTGAACCAGAATTCTCATTCTGAGTCAACCCGTATTTCATTAAACCTTCACCGTAGCAATATCAGGTTTTTCCTACCTATATTCTGTCCTTTTTAAGCAGCCACAACTAGGTAGCACACACCCTACTCTTGGGCTGCACCCCCATTCCAAAACTTTGGACCCTGCCTTGATAGCTTTGTTGACAGTCTCTCAAGACAAGCAAGAATGCTAACACTGTCATTACTCCCCACACTAGAGTTTTCTCAAATTTCTGAGGCGCATCCTCTTAAAGAAAATAACAGCGCTGCTGTGGAATAGTGACTGGTATTAAAAACTTAAGTGTCACTCTTCTGTGTGCCACTTACTCCACCCAGAATTTTACAGATGGATCCTACTAAAAGTCTTCCTGAAGTTCTGTTTCTTGTTTCCCTGCATGGTTCAACGAACAAGCAGTGAAGCTTATAATGTCCGTACTGGCACTGCCACTGCCCCAAGGGGAACAACTCAAACTTCAGTAGTCCTCAGTAAGTACTTCTCAGTTATCACTAATAATGTCTTTGCAATATGTAACCTGTAATGCCTTGCTTTTGTGCCCAAACCATCAGAAGCACAAAGCTCTTTTCCAGCTGTTCTCTAGAAATGTGCCCCCCCACCACCACCACCACCACCATCTTTTATACTAAGCTCTGAAAAAGCAGGAGAGAAAGAGGCGTCCTACTCTCTGGGAAACTGTCCCACAAAATTTAAGGGGAGACAATTTTCTCTCAAAAGTTGAAAACTTTTCCATAACACTGAAATTGTTACTGTTTCCCCAAGAAAACTTTTTAATCAATTCATTTTTCAGGCTTTGCTTTATAACTACTGGTGATAAAGAGATGGTGAAACAAGTTCTAAACTTCGGCATATCCCCCCAACCAATGTTCTAGAGGTTTTCATTTGCTCTCTTCTGCCTCCTCAAGCAAAGGTCAGTTTCATCAGTCAGTCTGTCTGGCTAACACCAAAGAACCACAGGCAGCTCCAATACTGCACATACCTCTGGCAAAATGAACTGCTCTACCGGCTTGTACCACAATCGGTTCACTTGCACTCCACAGCTTGGTGGGCTAAAGCGAGCACTGAAGAGAGCTTCCTGTGCATAATGACAACAACAACATCATCATCATCATCATCACCACCAGTGCTAAGAGATTATGCAAGCCTTAATCATCTTAGCTAGTTACAACAGAAAAAATAGGCTTATTGTTTCTATAAAATACTTACTGAAAAATTTCGTCTCAAGATAGTCTGATGGATGCCACAGAATTCAAGCTTTCAATTGATACAGCAGAAGCAAGCAATGATCGAGCGAGAGCGCAAGTTTCACTAGAAGTCTGACCAACACAATGCACTGTCTGGGACACTCAGTCTCAGTCTACTGAATTCCTAGCTTCTGTTTAAATAGCTGACTACTATTAATTGCAACAGATGATGCTGGCCCCTAAAACTTCATTGCTACTATATCACATAGGTCACCAAACCACTCTTGCATAACAACAGCAACATAAAGATGCTGCATTGCCAGCATATGCTCAGTCACTGCCTGCAGGACTCAAGTTCTATATGTGCATTACACAATTTTCATCCTGCACTATGGCACACCAAGACACAAACATCAGGCTGCTTTACAGGACAAATAACACTTGGCATTAGTGAAGTTTAAACTTTTATCATTGGACTATTGGGAACACAACTGTTCTCTCCAGCACTTCTGTATATTAATTGTGGACACAAAGGAGGGAGGTTTCCAAACTAGCATACATGTATGCCCTCAAAGCAGCTGACTGAATTGGGCAGGAGCCTCTAACGCTAATTCTGTGTTGAACTGTGTGTTGAGGGTGCCTCAGTTTTCAGGGGAGGCAGAGATATAGGTAGAGGAGAGGAAAGACTAAGGGGAGTTGAAAGAATGCTTCCTGCTGTTTATATAGCAAGGCAGGTGCTGTACTCAACGGTGCTACACATGATGGGCATTATTAACCTAGTGTGCTTGGAATTTTTAGAACACTTACCTTTCTGTGAGAATGTACATTCTCACATTTCCATAATTAAAATGACTTAATCTAATTAATGCTCAATAGTTAACCAGCATAAACCTCAACATAGCATGGCATGATTTTTTTTGCTACAACAAAACTAGTTTTCTTGAAATTCATTGTGAAAAAACACACTTTAGTGTATTTTTTGTACCTAGTTTTAATTTTTAGCTTAGCTTTAAATTATTTCTACTACTATAACAGTCAGAACTCCTAAAACTGGCCCATCAAGTTACTAATAGAGATAAATAACAAACTCAATGATCACGCTCAATGTGTTTTTTTCCCCCCCCCCCCCCCCCCCTTTTTTTTTTTTTTTTTCCTTCCCATAAGCACTAAGGTATCCTATCAAATCCATAACTGAGCTTGGGAGCATGTGTGTGTTGGGGGTGGGGGGGAAGTCCTCCCTAGAAGTTTGCCTGTTATCTGTAAAAATCAATTTCTAGAAATCTCAAAATGTCTTGCTGGAAGACAGATAAGAAAAAACTAGAGCTGTACTGCATCTCTTTGCCTCAAAGCACTCAATGGATCCATCTGGACATGTGTTTTAAATACACTTAAACAGTTTTTTTTTTTTTTTAAATTCCCTAATACCTATCAATAATTTAAAAACTCAAATGCAACCAAAAGGCAATCTTGGTATTACAGGTCAACGTTCTTTCAAAAAGCATTCAAGTTAACTCATGTCACTTCCTGAATTTCATTTTCCTTTTTTTCAAATCTGTTGTGTATATAAGCTGTGAAATAAGAAGAATTTACAGTGCAACAGAAGAAAAATATAATTCATATGCTTGCCATTAAGTAGTTGTCCCCTAAGTCACTCAAGTGTATAGCACTTTCTGTAACAACTTAATCCACAATAAAGAAAAAATATGACTTAGTTCAGTTGCAAAAGATAACTACAAAACTCTACCTCATGTTCTGCCTGGTATAGTTTTACAGTGATGTTCCTCTGGAATCCCACACTAACAGCCTCATAAAATACCCCAAGACTGGTAATGACAATGGGGTAAAGTACACGAAAGTTCACACTGACAATTCTGTCTTCAGAGAGCACAGAAGGTATGTCCTCAGGGAGACTGAATGCTTCAATTTCCTGATTCAAAACTGTACGAAGAAAGGACAAAGGCAACGTGAGAAGATTTCATTATTCTGGAACTGGATACACATACAGCACACCGAATAATTAGGCCGGAAAGTGCATGTGGTAATCAAGTGCTAGAGGGGAGAAAGACAGTTGACTGCACATTATGGTAACGAGGAACTCGGAGTGATGCAGCAGTCTGCTGCTTACCAGCAATTGCAAGCCAATGCCTACATATCCACCGAGAAAAGACTACAAACACAATATATCCACAGGGAGAAGGAAAAAAAAAACACTATTATCTGTATATTAATATATTATACAGAATTATCCATGTATCACAACTGCATACACCTCCACTTAACTGGCCTCCCCACCTTAAGCCCGGAGGTACCATCTGTTCTTGGGAGAATGGTTAAAGTAGTTGTTACTGTTCAAAGAGAAACAAAAAAAATCTCATTTCAAGGTGAGGTGAATCGTCACTTCACTTCGCCAAGCAGTTTCTTAACTTGTTAAATTCCTTAACTCGGAATTAAAGAGCAAAAATTAAATAGCAAAAAAAAGAAAGTGACAGGAAGAAAATACAATTTTAGTTAAGTGTTTTTATATAGCAGGATTTCATTATTCGCAATTTTATTTTTCTCAGCTGTTCCCTCTCTCGGGCATAATCCGAAAACCCTGTCAGCCAGACAGGATTAGAGCCCTTTCCTCCCCAAGTATCACCACTAGGGAAGTCTACCTTACACCTAAGAATCCTTTCCCAGCCTTGCTACCAGCTTCCCATATGACACTGGACCAGGTCATTCCAGCCCCTCTTCATTTTACACAAGGATAGAGTAAAAATTTACATTTCAGGGAACACTCTCTCCCATGTCATCAAGGGGAATGCAAATCCATTTGAAGTCAATGGCCTGTCCCTTGCAACCTCCAAGATCCCTTCCTTTCATGAAGCACTGCTCACAGTACTCACAGGAAGGTTATGCTACCGGCAGGATGGCAATTTCTAGATGGCATGTATTTGCAAGAGGGGCTGTCCCAGTTAAGCACCCCTGAAACTGTTCCCATAAAGGTGATTCAGTTCTAGTACAGATGATAGAATTTTTAAAACTTAACTTCTGTACCTGGGTTACTGATGTTCAGAAGTTTGCAGGAGTACGGATCTTCTCTGTCCTCCACTGGCACAGCACAACCATGCGCACCTATTATAAACTTCACAAGGACACTAAAATAATTTGGTTTTATTAACACCAGTTCTCTTCCCTCCACCTTCAATAAACTTATTTCATCACAATAGCCTGTTTTTCACAGGATTGAGATTTTTGAACCCCTCTTAAAAAATCAGCTACCTGACTCCTGATATAGAGTAACTATGTGACTCCCTGTGCGGAGGCTCAATTCCAAATCCACATTAGTCTCCTACATTTCATAATGAGGCCACAGGGAGAGACCAGCAACCAGGAACGCAATTCAACACAGCCAGCATGCTAAGCAGAAAAAGACCTAAGCTGGCACTGAAGGATTCTGAAACCCTGTCTCTCCCTGCCCGAGTTCGTTCCTTAACTCAGGGCTGCTTCAGTATTCTGCATTCAAAGGTAATGAACAAATTAATAATGATAAAAAGGATACTTAGCACCCAAGGAGGGACAAGAACTCCAGTCTACTATTATAGTGAAGCGTTTCAAATTTGGGTTGCAGTCAACCAACTGGTTGCTCTTTCTGGTCCCAATCATGGCTACGCTACAGCCAGGAGACTACAAGTAATAAAAAGAGCAAAAGCACCCACCTTAGCTCAGACTTCCACCTAGCAACTAAGTATACTCCTAAAACTCCATATAAACCAGGGAAAGGTCAGGTTTTTAGATGAATGTAGCAGCTACGCTTCACTCCAAATTGCCTAGTGTCGCCAAATTTGTGACTAGGAAATGGCTTTTGGTGCAAGACAAGTGCCAAGACGACAAAGTTCCACCAGCAAACTGCAGCTGAACTTTCCCAGCAAGATCTCAGCTGTTTGCAGACTCACTTTCAAGTATTCTGAATTACGAAGCATTCCAAGTTGCATACCATACAAAACATGCATCGCAATGCAAAAAAGGGAAATTCATTATGCATTGTATACTCTGGCTCTTGTACATCAAGAACAATGACATCTAGTTGCAAAAACTCAGTATCAAGACCTGAACCTGACTCATTTTTGTCTGTGAATCAGGATGACAGAACTGCATGGAAATGTAACAGCTTAATCCGCACAGTCCCATCAAACCACTGTCTCTCAGTAGTTCCACAGTAATTGCAAGTCTTACAGTCTCGCTCTCCCATCACTGCCACCCCATATCCCAATCTGTATGGGAAAGAACATACAAATAGCATAACCAGTTGCCAAAAAGAGCTTTTGGATGGGCTGTCTCTTGATATCTTTCAACGAAAATAGCTTCTGGCGTGTGCTCAGAAACATACCTCAAGCTTTTTTTTTTTTTTGTTATTTTGTTTTTAATCTTGCCATCAGCTTTATTCTGACGCATCACCATACTAGAGGGGCCCAGTATCGTCCCATGTAAATCAAAGAACAGCAGTGAGCAATCAATCACGACTTTATTCCCTGTACTAAAAAGTTCCAGCCCAGAACAAGCAGTATTTTTATATATTTCTAAGCAGATTTAAAAAGTGATCACAGTATAGGATGCTCACAAGTGAGGACAAGCCACTCCTTCTCCAGAAAAAGGATTAAATCAGTATGTTTACTCATCATATTCTTAGTTTCTTACTAAGTCCAAGAAATACAAAACGCTTGAGATTACCGTTGACTCAGTGCAGGATGTTGTTTCAAGTGCTTGAACCAAGTGTTCCTTATAACGCTGCGCAGTTCATGATTGTGCCGAGCTGACAACACACCTACAACAATATCATAATGCCTCAACTTCCACTGAGGAAAGAAGGCCAGTGGACCTAGAAATACAAAGTAAGAAAGGTTTATTATATACACATATTACCACATACCACAGTTGTGAACAATAATTAAAACGCATCCCAAGAGCGAGAGTACTGGGCACCTGATGAAAACAGTAAGTAGAACTAGTATTGCATTCTTGGTCAAGAATCCAGGAAACACTTTCAACATGTCAAAACCATCACTAGTAATCTGGGAAACATTACTACAATGAACCAAGTAAGTCACCGCAGATAAACAAAACTCACCAAGAAAGCGTGACCTGCAAAGCAGGCAGGAACGTAAACCTCAGTTTTGACTGACAGCATCTACCATTCTTTAAATATTTGCCTGCCTGGCTTCTGAACAAACTGCCCTTGGGTGGATGCTCTTGCTGTGCTCTATTTCCTACGGGCCATTTTATGGGCAAGACGCAAGGTCCTACTTCCCACTCTGCAAAACTTAAGAAAGCCTGGGCCTTCTGCTACCTCATTAACATCCCCTCAAATATGATTTACCCTAAAATGTGGCAGCTTGCCATTCCTGGTACTTTCACCACTACAATTCACCACTAATCTACCTAGGGGGAAGAGGGAAAAAATAAACAAAACACAAACACAACACTATTTAAAAAAAGCCTGTCACGTTCAGAAATATGCCCATTTTTTCCTCTTCTCTTTAAAACAGTTGGACACCTTTAGCTCACCATTTCACTCTGACATGTCAAGTTCTGTCTTGTTTCTAACCCTCTAAAGCTGAGCACCACACTCTGCCTTCACAAAGGGTATTATATCTTAACAGAAAGGAATGCTCTGGCCTTTTCATAGCTGGATGTCACAGTCAATACCCGTCATCTACGGTTTAGCTTTTGCTGTTTTAATTCAGACGTCGTGAAATTCAGACTTCTTTTAAAGCAGGAGTTTGACTAGATAGAAACCTGAGAAGCTATGACTTTGAGCCTGCAAACGCCCAGGCAAAGGAGCTGAACTGCATAGTTCAATTTATCAGCTGCTGTAGAATTGAGAGAGATTTATATTTAGCTATAGCAAAGGATCACTTTCATCTCATCTCACTAATTTTTTTTTTCCATTAGGCTGCAGATAAAGAAAACAAATCTAAATGTGACTGCCCTCCAAACAGCACAGACAAGATTTTTCCAAAAAATCTAATTTTAGAGAAACTAAAAATATCTCCAAATCTATATGGTATACTTCCACCAGAAAGAGCTGAATTATAATGTAGATTCTACTTTCTGTACTAGGATCACAGAATGGTTTAGGTTGGAAGGGACCTCTGGAGATCATCTAGTCCAACCTCCCTGCTCAAGCAGCGTCCTCTAGAGCATATTGCCCAGGATCACATCCAGACGGGTTTTGAATATCTCCAGAAAAGGAGACTCCACTACCCCTCTGGGCAACCTGGTCCAGTGCTCTGTCACCCTCACAGTGAAGAAGTTTTTCCTCAGGTTCAGATGGAACTGCCTGTGGTTCAGTTGGTGCCCGTTGCCTCTTGTCCTGCTTCTCCAGGCTGAACAGGCCCAGCTCTCGCAGCCTTTCTTCAGAGGAGAGAGGCTCCAGTCCCCTCATCCTCTTTGCAGCCCTCCGCTGGACTCTCTCCAGTAGCACCAAGTCTCTCTCGTACTGGGGAGCCCAGAAGTGGACACCGGACTCCAGGTGACGCCTCCCCAGGGCTGAGGAGAGGGCCAGCATCACCTCCCTCCACCTGCTGGCAACACTCTGCCTCATGCACCCCAGGAGACCATTGGCCTTCTTGGCCACAAGGCCACACTGCTGCCTCATGCTGAACTTCTTGTCCACCAGCACTCCCAGGTCCTTCTCGGCAGAGCCGCTTTCCAGCAGGTCAACCCCCCAGCCTGTCCTGCTGCGTGGGGTTATTTCTCCCCAGGTGCAGGACCTCGCACTTGCCTTCGCTGAACTTCAGGAGGTTCCTCTTTGCCCAGCTCTCCAGCCTGTTCCAGGTCCCTCTGCATGGCAGCACAGCCTTCTGGTGTGTCAGCCACTCCCCCCAGTTTAGTATCATCAGCAAACTGGCTGAGGGTGCGCTCTGTCCCTTCCTCCAGGTCATCGATGAATACGTTGAACAAGATTGGACTCAGTCCTGACCCCTGGGGGACACCATGAGCTACAGGCCTCCAACTAGACTCTGCGCCACTGACCACAACCCTCTGAGCTCTGCCCTCCAGCCAGTTCTCAAGCCACCTCACTGTCCACTCATCCAACCCACACTTCCTGAGTTTACTTATGAGGATGTGATGGGAGACAGGGTCAAAGCTTATATCAACTTACAATCAAAATGACTTAAAAACCCCAAGCACACAAGCCACTTTATTTCCCCTTCTTCAGTATCAGTTTTTCACTAAAGCCAACTGTTATGCCTTCTACACCAAGCATACGTTGAACTGGTGGCAAGGTTCAGGAATATCATTTGTTTGCTGACAGAGCTACATTCAAACATATTGCCGCATGTAACATCTAAAGAATCTTACAAGACGGATCAGACAGTCTATCTGAATATAGTTTTGGTAAATATGCTGGTAAATACTGACTAATCAGAGTTTCTGCATGTCTCCAGAGACCTTTATATAATCAAACTCTACCAGTACTCCATGAGAGCAGAGGTACAGGATTATAACAAATTCCTCTATAGCCTCATAAGCCTTCCTCTGATACCCCTTTTCTCTCCTGGCTCTCCTTCCATCCTTCAATTACTCTTTAAAGAGCCTCTGCAGCCTTAAACACAAAGCCATCCAGACTAAATCTCACTAGAGGACTAAGACGTTTGCAGAGTGCACATAAGGTACTGTTTACACAGATTTGGTTTTGACGATAACATTTTTAATTAAAAACAGAACCATTTTGTTAAACAAAAATTAAAGAAAGACAAAACAAAGAACAGAAGTCTATAGGGCAAACTGAACTAGAATACCATAAGCTGGCTTAAATCAATTTTAAAAACCCTAAAAATAAGCTATTCAAATCAAAAATAAGTATTTTAGATTAATTTATATTTTAAAATAAATGAAACCTTTTCTTATGAATTGTTCATATGGGAGCAACATTAATGTAGCATATGCTTCTGAATTAATATCCTACTGCTTTTAGAACAGACAGCCCCTTTCTCCTGTTTTACACAGTCTTCAACTTGATAAGGTAGCATTACAGCACTCTACATTCAGAAGATTGTCTTCTTTGTCCCAAGGGTTATGCCATTTTACTTCTAAAACCTCTGAAAATGAAGAGAGGAGAAAAAGAGAAAAAAAAAGAAGAGCTTACTTCTGCAAAAAACTAATGAATAAGCTCCCTGCTTGTCAGCAAACGTTTCTACTTCCTACTGAAAAGTAGGATTAACATTTGTTAAGCTTTCAGGAAAAGAGAATCAATCGTCTCTCCCTGAACAAGTACTATTTAAAAAAAAAAAAAAAAAGAGGAAGAGATAAAGTCAGAGGTACAGAAAAAAAAAGAGGCTATTATTCATTTATAAGGATAATTCAGATATGTGCATCTATAGGATCCAATGCAGCATAAGCTAAGAGAAAATACTGCTGACCTCCAAGTCAGTAAGTATTTATATAGGCAACTAATACTTACCACAGGGGCCCACACTTATTTCCTTAGCATATGTTCTATTTTTGTGCATTCTTAGGCCAGCATTTTATGTGTTAGTAATAGGTTTAAAAATGCATTATATTTCACTATTAATTATCTTGCACAAACAATATAAAAGGCAAGACTTTAAAATTTCCAGTTACAAAAAGAAAGAAAAATCTGCAAATTTTGTGCTTTGCAAAGGAGACAGGCAAATCATATACCAAAATCCTTAATCCAAGCTATGCCACAGGCTCTCCATGCACGTCTCCAGTGCAAGTCTCCCCCTGTATTTTTCAGACTTCCCATTCGCTTAACAGTACCTCACAAGTGGTATGGATGGATATTAGCTTTTTAACAACTGTTTATATATCTATACATATTTCTATGTATCTCATTCCATAATAAATCCTAAGTCCTGCTAGCTGAAGAGGTGCAGAAGTAGAGGAAGCCTTTCCGGCATAAAGGCCACATTATCATTAGGAGCCTCACTTTTGAGTTCTTACTATTTCAAAATTTCATCTCTCAGATGCACCAAGCATCCCAAGACTGCTGAGTGGAGTGTAAATAGTCAAATGTGCAATTCCTACTCTACGCTCTTTCAGGCACCAGTTACAAAATGGCTTTCACTTTGATGGTTTGCTTAAGCCTGTTAACCCACAGCAAGGACTACAATAATATGAAAGCAGGCAGCTATCTCTCAGCTGCCACGATCCATTCAGTTCTGCACAGCAAGGAACTGAAAGGAGTACTTCTGTCAGCAGTGAAGTCTGCAAGAGCCTCATGTCACATGGTTAGTAGCAAGCGCTAACTGAAGGTCTTCCTGGGACTGGTGTATTCGTAAGGACACACTCCCACACAATTTTCTGATGTCTAACTGCATGTATTTCTAGTAGTGCCATTTTTTTTACCTTGGTCTGAACTGCAATAAGCTTTCAAAGAATTCTTAAGTCACCAGTTTTCAGGAAGCTTGGGGAAAATTCTGGTCTTTGAGACCTCCATTGTCTGTCAAGCTTGGTCGAGAACTGCCAACAGATGGAAGCGAGGGAGACAGAGGAGAAGAGGTAAACAAGTGCACATACAGAGCACAGAACACAAGCCTGTGCCCCTAGAAGGCAAGGCTAAAGATGCAGGGGTGCATCTCCTGCTGAGCTGGACCACCGAAGGTGGTCAGTGCTGACAGGCAGTCTGCTGGCCTCAGCCACATTGTAGCAAACAGCTGTGTTTTTCAAAACCCCAAACTACAAAGATTAACATGCATCTCTTCTTCCTATGAGACTGACTCTCAAGTAAAATGTCAAGTTAAGCTGCTAATTATATTTACTGTCATTATAAGGAGATGAAAAGATTGAGAGATCATTTTAGCTTGATTTTGTCAAAAAACAAGGCAAACGTGATCTTGCTGCACAGATGTCTATTGGTCTGTCTCTCAACCACCTCTAAATCCACTGGTCATTTTCAGTCAAGTTTGACAGAGTACAGGTCTCAAAGTAATTAAGTTCCTACGTGTTTCATGCAAGGGGACTGGGCAGACAAGAGACTTCTTAATTAATGCCTGCACTGAGAAATGTAGCAGTGCAGGCTTAGCTGCATTATCAGGCACCAGAGAGCCTCCACCAGCAACTGCTAGTATAAGAGAGCTCAAGAGGAAGCCAGATTTTGCATCTTCTGCTAGCCATGCAGCTTTTCAACAAATAAATAAATAAGCAGAATTAAATAGGCTAGGCAGAAGTTGTCAGGAATATTTTCAATGAATTCACTTCAAATATACGGTTAAAATAAAACAAAAAACACACCCCAACCAAACAAAAAAAAATCCAGGTGCCATTTCTGCCTATTCTTGGGACTTTGTAACCATATTCCTGTTTTTAAAATGCCTTTCTCTACAGCACTGCTCTGTGGAAGACCAAAACAAACACGGAGGAAGGAATTAACTGAATATAAAGAAGGTTTTTATTCACAGAATGCTGACACATGCACCAAAAGAACAAATCAAAGGGCAAAAGCAGCTCTTCTCCTCCCTTCTAATCTTCTTCACCTACACTAATCTACTATAGCTTGTCTGCATTACAGGTTTCTGTGCAAGCACAGCTACGTGGCCTTGCTGCAGGATCCATTTTATACTAGAACTAAAACTCACTGTGATGTGCACCCCTGGTTGCTGCAGGAGCACAGCACTCCTTGAAACAGACAAACCTTCAGGTAGTGAAAGTAGCAGCACTGGAGGGATACTGGTGCTCTGCACACCG